TTCGTCTATTTATTGTTGGAGCCCAGTTTTATTTCTAATTACTTCATTTGCTAAAGTTTTATTCAGTTAATCATTATTCATTTTTCATCAAATAAGTTTTGTCTTTCTTTTTCCAAAAGAAAACTCAATAAGCATGTGTTACGGTGTCATCTTACAATTTTAGCTAAGTTAATAAATAAAAAATTGTTGAAAGCAAAGCTTAATTTTGGAAAATATGTTGGTAACACAGTTGCTAAACTATTATCCTTTGAAAGTTAAGTTATATCTAGTTGCCAACGAGGTCTGGTAGAAACTATTATTCTTTGAAAGTTAAGTTATATCTAGTTGTCAACAAGATCTAGTCTGGTGAAACAATATGATATTTTACGATCTTAAAAATTTGTCAAAAAGCAACATAAAACAAAGAAAATGGAAAATTTCCCTATTATATTTATGAACATAATCTAAACAAGCAAAAACAACTTCTTTCATCACCAAGAATTGTTTACAACATTAGTGATTTGCAAGATAATGGACTACTTATATTTTGCTCCAAACTACTACAAGCACATGTAAGGGAGGAGATTTATCATACAATCAAGATATTATAGAGATTGGAACTTGAGACTTTGCAAGTCAATACTATTTTTTACTGAACTAGTCCCGTTGACATCTTCTTTAAGTATTTTCTTACCTACCAATTCTTAATAATTAACAAATACATTTTTCAACATAAATTTTAAAATATATTTGAGCATGAAATTAACAAGAAATTATGACTTTGAAATTGAAAATAATAATGATATATGTGAAATTTACCACATGATTCTAACATCGCAGCGAGCGAACCGGCAGAGACGAACGGTGTTGTCTTAGAAGCCACTAGCAGAGTCTGAGCGGGTCACCAATGGCAACCCGGTTCCAGAGTCCGACTCCAAGTCATAAAGTGGCGAGCTTGGTCCTGGTCCTGGTCCTGGTCCTCTTAGCTAGCCTATACGGCTCCTGCCGTGGATCTGAGTCTCGGATCCATCCGGGTCGCGACCTGTTGGCCACTCAAAGGAGGAACAACGGCAGTCAGAACCAGATCCCGAGCTGCAACGACATGTCGTCGGAGTCACAGTGCTCCCGGAATCCAAAGTGCCGGTGGTGCCGCAGCGACGCCCTCAACGACATGTGCTTCCCAAAGCTCGAGGCTTTGCGCTTACCCCCACAGGTCTTCTCTTGCAAAATTGACTACAGTCGTCTCAACAGAAATCATGAGAAAGCTTAGCTTGAGTAGATTTTAATTTAAAGTCAGCTGCTTTTAAATAATTTTCCACTTATAATCACAAATCAATTCTTGTGTGTTGTTGTTGTTTGTTGAGTAGGGAATTGTGCATCTTGTGATCTGTAAATGATGTGTTGTGAATTGAAATTGATCTGTTCTTCAATTGAAGATCTGAATCTTTTGATAGACTGTAGTGTTGAAGTTGTGATTGTTGAAGGTTAGATTGTGTTTTTCCCAGCTAAGGATTAGGATTTAATAGAATGGGAAGTTGAAGTATCAGAGGAAGTGGATTAAGCTTGAGCAGCTTAAGATTAAGCTTAATACATGTGCCTCAAAAGTAGTTTGAGTGGCTTAAGATCATCATATCCATGCCTTAGGAATTGAGGCACATTTTGCAAAATTGTGTATGTTTCATTTTCATATAGAGGATTTGTACATTTATAAATTAGAGGAAGAAATATAGCTGCCTGCTTGTAAGTTGTGCTTGTACAATGTGAAAATAAATCAACTTAGTACATTTTGCTTGTAAGTTTTGTGAGTGATCCATGGAAACCTAGAAGAAAGTATGAAGCCTGGCATGCAAGGTAATGGGACAACTGGACAAGGGTTAGCAACAAGATAATATGTAAGGGTCACTTTGTTGTGCAAAAAACCCTCAGGTTCAGGTGTAGAGCAATTAGGTTTTTGAATCGTTTCTTTGGGTTTCGCAGCTCCGCCTGAAGAAGATGATGGGGGGTCTTTTATTGTTCTTTTCATTGATAAAATTTGTATGCAACTTGCAACCAACTAGATTGGAACTGCAACCACAGCCTCCCAGCATATAGCACCGCTGGTTATATCCTATAAGTCACGTGGTGTGGGTGATGCTATACAACTCCTCATGTAATCTCTTGCACTCCAAAAATAAATGTATTACAGTTCCTAAACCCTACACAGTGCGGATAGAGCTGGGAGTTGTGTATTTGTATTTTAGGGTGTAAGTATATGAACAGTAGCGGACAGCACCGTTGTATTTACTGGATCTATATCTTGTTATTGGTTTTTTATACCATGTCTAGGAACTTTCCACTTGAGAACAGTCAAGTATGGAGAAAAAGGTTGCTGCTCTCAGATGCAACTCAGATACGGGGTGTGCCATCAATGTTATGGCCTTGGTTTAGTTTGTATAGCTGGATGTTCGGGAAGAAGGGGAAACCAAAATGATGAGTACAGATCCGGTTGCTCGAATGGAGTAGTGATCCTGTTCTTTTGCCCTTGCTCTCAGGAGTCAGGACCTTCTAGAAATATATTATGTCTGGGATTTCAGCTAGTGGCATTAGTGATAGAGCTAAATAACAGCACAAAAATGTGGGGTTAGCAATAAAACCCGGGATCTAAGAGCTAAATTGCTGGAGAAGAACGTGGGGTTTTCAACAAAGTAATCTCTTCCTACATTTAGAATATAGATAGAAGAAACCAATGCAGTCCCACATAGTACTTAGTATCAAGAATTGTTTCAAGCATGGAAGAGAAAAAACAAGCAATAAACGGTGTTTTAAACCAAAACACTGCAGCAATAAACTGCGCATCAAGATTTCCTCTTTAAGATTGTTCTGATAAGTTAATGAAAAGAAACAAATGAACGCACAATCGTCAAACAATTTCAACTACGAACATATTATTTGAGCAACTGAACTGAGTTTAGAAATCAAATCAAATCGTGGTGAATAAGGAGAGCCTCTTTTTCCACCTTTAAAATTAACAAACAAATTGAACATATTTGTTCAACTTTACAACAAAACAGAGACAGACACCAAATCAATTCACACTGCTTCATCATCTTTGGCTCCGCCACCGCCGACGCCACTAGCAGCCGCAACAAACTGCTTCACAGCATCCCTCATATCATCACAATTCAACCCATCAAAGAACTCCATCAACTTCCCCAGCTCCCGGTCTGCCATGTCATCCACAAACGGTCGGACTGGAACGGCGTTCTCCGGTTGTAAAGAATATGAATTTGGATTATCATCCACAATTACCGCCCGGCTCAAGTCCCTCCCTAACCCGGACAAGTCCTTCACCAACTTCCCATCCACTTCTTTACACGCGTCCCTGTAGAGCCGGTGCGAAATGACCCGGTTCCGGTCCAACCGGTCCAGCACCAACGACGCGTACTCTCTCAACCCGGCCGTGAACACTACCAACTCGTACTTCTCTGCAAGATTCTCCAACAACTCGTCCACACCAGGCCGCTTCAGCACGTAGAAATTCATGGCTACGCCGTCGATATTCGGCCGTATGACGAAATCGTACTTCTCAGGCGGCGGCTCGGCCTGAGAGTGAACCAGCGTCTCGTCGAGATCAAGAAACACGGTCGGCTTCTCCTCAGAGACCAGCGGTGGGAGCGGGGTGTCGAAGAAAAGATTGCGTCGGATCGGGTCTTCTGATCCGGGTTCGGGCTCGTGGATTTGGGATTTCTTGAGGATCTTGAATCCTTTGTGGCGGTTGGGGGTCCCTATTCGCGCTAGCTTGGTGAAGAGCTTGATGAGGCGGCGCTGGCAAGTGAAGATCGAGGAGAGCACAGCGGAGGAGGCCGCGGCTGCCGCCTTTTTCGCCGAGGACTTGCCGCGGGTGCGCCGCCTGTTGGCGCTCTTCTTCACAATCTTGGACACCATTTCTTCAAATTCTCGCTTGCCAATTTGTCTTCTTCAAAATCTTGATCAGAAATCAAGAGAGAGAGAGAGAGAGAGAGAGGTGTGGAGTTTGAAATGGTGGAATTTGAGGAAAGGGGGAGTTTTTAAACCTTAGGTTCGGTGTAACGGTCGTCAGTGTAGGTTTGGAACCGAAGCTGAGGGAAAGTAGTTATTGGTTTAGGTTCGAATATGTGTGAAAATCGAAGGATGATTAGGATTGGGGCTTGGCTGGATGGCAGGTTTTAGATTGAAGTGAACGCGTCACTGTCAGTACAAAATTACAGCTTTTGCCAACTCCCCTAAATTCGCATTCCTATTTGTTATTTCTGAGAACCTTCCACATTTGTTTTTCTTCTCTAAAAGAAGGTTCTATAGTTTTGTTATGTTTCAATGCTTTATATTTTGACTGCCTTTATTATTTTTCATTAAAATAAACGAGAACAAGAAATGTAAAATAATTTCCAATTGGAAACGAATATCATTTCTTTCGTGTTTATTTGACAGAGAGAATGAGTTTCGAAATATTTTTAAGATCTTAACTGCAAATTTGGGATTTTTATTTATTTCTTGTTTGAAAGTCAAATTCAAGGCTATAGACATGCATGCTTTTCGAAAACTCTTGAGTACCGTACCTTCATTTCGACATCTCATCATTTAACGAATTTTAAGAATAGCGGATTTAATGGCAAGACCAAAAACTCAACAATTTTGAAAAGTTGCATTGAATGAAAGGTGATCGTCGTTGTTAATTAGCTGAATGCAATTGAAGATTATCATCATGTTGAATAATAGAAGATCGACAGGATGATAATCTTCCAACTCCAACACAAGTTTAGACATTTTACTTGGGTTTCATTCTAAGGCTTCTTAGATTGTCCAGGTTCTTGATGTTCTATCAGTTTACAAGTATCAATTGTCGAAGAGACCGACCGATGACACCTTTTACGTAAGACTTGCCGTTTTCATGCAACATGTTATAAAGAAACAAAAAAAAAAGGTTGATCATCATCAAGGCTTACAAAAACTGTTTCATTTCATAACAAAAAAAATATGTATATATCTTCTTTAATTTCTCAATGTTAAAAAAAAGGATGAAATCCTGTGCGAAAGCACACGATTACATTAATAATTAGCAGAAAGAAACTGCACACGATCACCACCTTTGTCCCCCACTCCAAAACTGGCGGCCCAAATGGGCGAACTCTATGGACACTGATGATAGAGAACGGCGTCGAAACGGTAGGTTTAGACTTAGCATCACTCATCTCCTGCAACTCATCGTCGTCGTCGTCGTCATCAGACGACATCAATCCATCGTCACCAACAAACTTCTTCACGGCAACCCTAATGTCCTCACAACAACGTAACTCTTCGTCCTCAAAGAACTCCAGCAACCTCGTGAGCTCCCGGTCCGCTGGGTCGTCATAAAACCGGACGACGGGGATCGCGTTCTCTGGCTGGAGGAAATAAGCATTGGGATTGTCGTCCACAATCACCACCCGCCTCAAGTCCCGCCCCAACCCGGACAAGTCCTTCACGAACTTCCCACTCATCTCCTTACACGAGTCCCTGTAGAGCCGGTGCGACACCAGGCGCTTCCGGTCCAGCCGGTCCAGTATCAGCGTCGCGTAGTCTCTCAGCCCCGCCGTGAACACCACCACCTCGTACTGTGCCGCCAGCCTCTCCAAAAAAGCGTCCACGCCGGGTCGTTTCACCACGTAGAAAGTCATCACCTTGCCGCGGATCTTCGGCCGGACAACGAAGTCGAAGTTCTTGGGCGGCGGACCAGTCACGGAGTGGACCAAGGTCTCGTCGAGGTCCAGACACACTGTCCGTTTCTCCGGCGAGGCTAGAGGCGGGAGTGGGAGGCGGGCCTGGGGTTCGGTCCGGGTCTCCGGGGACTGGGGTTTGTGGAGGACCTTGAATGCTTTGTTGGTGCCGACGCGGGTCAGCAAGACGGTGGATGGAGCAATCGCCGACTTTTTCAAGGAGCAGTTGCGGCGGTGGCGCCTCCGTATGCCGCGGCAGCGCTTGATGGGCATGTGCTTGTTGGTGCTGGGGGTTTTCTTGAGAATCCTGGACACCATATTTCTTTGGTTGGTTGTTGCTTCAATGTCGAAATTGAAAATGGTGGAGAAGTTGAATTGAATTGTTGAGAATTGTTGGGGGGGAGTTTTAAATTTCTGGTGGGTGCAACGGAAGGTTGGAACAAAAGGAGAGATGGTTGGGATGATTTAAGGGTGAGCGAGGGTAAGTTTGTTGGAGCTGCGGTTAATTTTGTTTAGATATTGGTTTTTACTGTTAGAATTGAAGGCATTGTTGGAGTTGGATGGTTATTTTAGTTTTAGTTAACCAGCTGGTTTAGTTTCAAGTGAAGGCACCAGTCTACCGGTAAAATGGTTATCACAGTCAATGAGTCAACAGTCTATCACATTTCTTTATTCTAATGCAGAACGAGAATTTGAATTAGAAGCTCTTTTTTTTTTTTTTTGGTTTGAACCACGAGGTGGTCCTAGATGGGCCCCAACTATGGTAGAGCGTCATTACTCTTTACTTTGTTAGAATAAATTGTCGTCTTTTACACAGAAGAAGCTCTTTCAATAGTGATAAATGAGGTATCACTGTATCAAAAACTAATTTGGACCTGGAACCTATTTCAATATCTGAATTTTGACTTTCATTCCCTTATTTGGCTAATTCCGTTGATTGCTGAATTCCTTTCTTCTTCTTCTTTTTTATTTATTTATTTATTATCTTTTTTCTATTGATGCTATGTTTTGACTTTTTTATGTTACCTTATTTAGGAGGGTGTATTCAATTTAGATTTTAAATGATTTTAAAAGAGTTATAAAGTTGATGGAGTTTAATTGAATTTGATTGTGTTTGATTGAATTCTACAAACTCCACATAGATTTTGACTAAATTCGTGTATAGATTTTAATTGAGTTTGTTAGAATTTTATTATTGATTTTAATGGAGTTTATAGCAATGGCGATGGTGGTGATGGCAATGGCGGTGGCGATGGTGGTTTGTGGGGGAGGTAGTGGTGGAGGAGGTAGGGGTGGTAGTGGTGGTGGTGGTGGGAGTGAGGTGTGAGGAGGTGGGGGTGATAGTGATGGTGGTGGTGGGAGTGAGATGGTGGAGGTGTTGGTGTTGGTGGTGGTGGTGGTGGAGGTGGTAGTGGCAATGGCAGTGATGATGTTGGCAGTGGTTATGGTGGTAGTGACGGTGGGGCTGATAGTGGGGGTGGTAGTGGTGGTGGAGGTAAGGGTAAGGGTAGTGGTGGAGGTGGTGGCGATGGCAATGATGGTGATGGTGTTGGTGGTAATGGTGGTGACGATGGGGATAGTGGGGGTGGCTGTGGGTGGTGGTGGTGCTAAGAGTGGCAGCGATGATGATGATTGTGGTGGTGGCGGCGGAGGCGGCTATGGTTATAGTCATGATAAGATGGTGATATAGAAGTGGTGAAATCATATATTGAGAATAAAAATAATATATTTATCAAAATCTCTGGAAGGAATCAAAGATTTGTCATAGCCTAAAATTAGTTTATTATCAAACGAAATCCACCACTTTTTGTATTTCCTTTAAAATCAACGAGTTTTTGAATATACCCCAACTTTTATGAAATCTTTTAAAGTCGTAATTGAATACATCCAAATATGAATGAAGTTTAAAAAGTTTGACTTGAATACACTCAGAATTGAATAGACTTTTATAATATCGTGATTGAATACACCTAAACTTGTAAACTTCTTTAAAATCTTTTAAAATATAAATTGAATACATTCTATTCTATGCCACTTTTAGTAATAACAAATTCTTCTACCATATTTTTGGTTTTTCTTGTTGATTAAAAAAAGGATAGAATTTTAGGTTTTTTAGGTTTTAGACATAAAAAAATGTTCACTTTTGGAAAAAGCCAAAGCTGTTTCAAAAAAGACAAAAAAACCGCTCAACTTTCAAATCAAAGACTTAAACAAAGAGGGAATAAGAGGTTCGGACGAAGGTTTTGGGCCAGCCATGGTTTAGTGAGCGTAAATAAAATAACAATGTAAGGGTTAGTTTAGTATTCTAAAATTTGGTTGGATATAGAGAATAAATCAGGATTTGGAAGGCCAAAAAATGCGGTTTTTCAAAAATGAAATTTGGGTGTAGTGAGTGATTAGATGCACTGCTCAAGTATTTGGGTGCATTTAGAAATTCTCAAATAAAACCTCTCAACTATGGACAGCTCGTCTAAAAGAATAATTGCGCCTGGGCCACAACACGACACCACAATGCAAATGTTATGGCCTCTGAATGTTAGCCCATACGAAATAAAGAAGGCCTCCAGCAGCATCATGTGGACTCTTGTAAACATTTTCATACCAATTGGTACTAAATAAAGCTTGTATAGAAAACACATGCCTTATTTTGTCACGCGATGAGAGATATATATATATATGTAATTTTATACAATCGATGACACTTAAAATTTCTCAAAACTTATGGCATGCTTATTGATACCTAGCCATAATAAGTCCGATCGGAATAAAATAAAATCGGGATGAACCATTCTATCTTCCAAACGGAGATGGCTGGCTCTTCCTAGAATGAGAGTTGATCAGTGAGCATCCCCTCATTACCAAAACACAAGATTTAAAAAAAAATTATATATATATGAGGAAAGCAAAGCATTAGAATGACATCACTAAAAAGTACGCAGAAAAATGAGTTGATCAGACGTTTGTATATTGGCCAAACTTTTCTGGAAGTGCATTTGCTTACCCTGAAAATGAGGCTGAAAATGATACGCCAATAAGTAAGCAATGACTTGACCACGCTACACTGAAAACAGTGAGTATAGTATCTTGGTAGTTGAAAAGAGCAAATTTCTTCATAAAGTAATGCAGTAAGTGTTACTCATCAGGTCAGGTCTTTGCCTGCCACTGAAAACAATGAAAAGCTTTCTAGTAAGATAACAGAGCATGTCTCCATGAATTGTTATTATACTCTGTTATCACCTTCCACTTTCCATGAATTGGTCAAAAGAATTTAATTTCCATATCTTAAAGTAAAGTGTGAAATCCTGTGTGAACAGAATAAGATTACATGAACAATACCAGAACAACAACCATCACAAAAAGATGGCTAAATGGAGGGAGACTGATGAAGAATGGTGTTGAAATAGTGAATAGTGGGAGGTTAGATCTTGCATGCGCATTGATCAATTTATTGGTTGGTATCAGACTTCTCTCTGCTTCATCATTCATGGTTCTTCTTTTGAATTTAGTGGAAGACTGAAGAGAAGTTGATGTTAGCCTGCACTAATGAATAGTTTATTGATACTTAAACTCCAGCATGATCAGATTCAGGTCACTAATGGGGTCAATGCAAAAATAATCAACTTCCTAATTAATTACTTCATCATCATAATTGGATAATTAAAAGGTACTTCTAGCAAGGTTGTGTTTTGACTAGTTCTGCGATCATAATTGTTTTGTTTTTTGTTTTTGTTTTTATAGGACTTTTCCTATTGAATGAGGTAATAATATATTAAACTCACACACACTACACGGATGCTAGGACTCGATCCCTAGAACCTTGCCTGAGAGAGTAATTACTCCAAACCACTACACTAGTGAGTCCTTTACTTATTTTTATACATCTATTATAAAGAAGAGGTGTATTCAATTGAGATTTTAATAGATTGTTTTGAAGCTTAAAAGTCCAGTGGTATTCAAGTAAGATTTTTAAGTAATCAATAAAAATATATTGGTATTCAATTAAGATTTTTAAATAATCAATCCAAGTCTTGTGGTATTCAATTAGGATTTTTAAAAGATAAGAAAAAGTACGATGGTATTAAAAAACTTACCGATTTTGAGGTATTTCGTTAAATTGTGTATTGTGTGAGACTTTTGAGTGCGTGATAAAAATACCAAACCCCATAAAAAAATCCCACCCTCCGATGCCTGATTCTCACGTTTTTTATTTTTGGGGAAGATGAACAAATGAAGATAAACAAAGTACTCATGTCTTTACAAGAGCTTGGTTTAACCAGATTCGATCCTTCTGTATTTAGTGGATAGACTCAGATAGCTGTCTTTGTTTTCTTTGCTTTCTCTAGTCTATCTTGTTTTCTTTTTCTCCTGACTGTTTGGTTGCAGGAGGTGTTTCCCGCCTTTCTTTTGGCTTGATGTCTATACTATTTGTTCGCTTTCATCTTATGGATAATCTCTTTGCCCGATAAAAAAGGACACTCATATGGCTTGCCTTCAGATATCTAAACAATAATTTCATATACGTTGCTTTCAATAGTTGTTCATATTATGCAATATGCTGCATTTTTCTCAATAGATTTTCAGCTAATTTATTTCCTTTGATTTATTTGTCTTTCTTTAGTCAATTTGTGGAATTAATTTGAGTGACAAGTGTTCTATACTAGTATCATGTCATAGATGGACCATTTTAACTTGTTTTCAGTTGTCCAATTTCTTATTTGAATTGATTCAATTAACTTGTCTGTTGTAATATTTATAAATTCAATTAATTCAAGATTTTTCCTTCTTGTAGCTTGTTTCCCATGTCAATTCTTAGTTCCATACCAAGTTCTCTATTCAAAACTTAATAGCTGATGTGATTAATTGCAAGTGGACAATATCACTCAAATTAATATAGTAGTAAGTAGAGTATCGTTCCAATAGGGATCAAGTAATCTATTAAATACTAGAGTGATTTATTTCTAATTATATTTGAATTAAACGAAAAGAGAATTATAATGATTAAAATCTAATTAGCAAGCAAAATAAATTGAGATTAAGGAAATAATGTAAAAGATGATAAAACACGTGGGCACCGATTTCACCTAGAAAATCCCACCCAAATCCTTCTAGCTTGTTAATTCTAGTTACCTAATATGTTGATAATCGTTTTCCCTTACCTCACCAATAATCTCTTCCGAGTTATATTATTTTTATTTCTTACCATCAACCCCCTCTATTCATAGTTATGGATTTAGATAGCTAAGAACCCATTAAGATTTGTGGAAAACAATGAAGATTACACAAACCATAACCTAATCTTCCGAGTCGGCTATGTAATTTATGGTACTTATTAGAAGAAGCTTTTTATTAGGAATCTCCTTCCGGTCTCAACCTAAGTCTTCCAATCATGCAATTAGTGGCCAAATAATTGAAAGCATTAAAAACGGTAACAAGCACTCAACATGTATAGATAAAAAAAATTAACAATATCAAAGAATTTGAGTATTCATAGCTAGGCTACGTCGTAGCCCTAGTAAAATAAATTAGTTCATGAATGACTTATTGAGAATCATGATAGTTGATGAAAACATGGAAGACATTGAATTCTCCAAGTAGAATGCCAAGGTTGCGCAAGCTTTCTTTGTATTCTCCTTTGGATATTTCAGCTATAAGTATGAATATGTAGGATGATGGATGATGGATGATGGAGGATGGAGGATGATGGGTCATATGAACAATGATCTAAACTTCCTATTTATAAGACTCCTAGAAATCCTATCTAAGGTATAATTACAATTGTTATAAAAGTAGGATTCCTTCTTAAATAGGATCTTCTTTATTTCTCATTATTTGACTTGATTAATCTCCAATTTTCATCTTCTTGCCATTTTTAGCACACTTTCTCCTATTTCCACAATTCCTTCACAAATATCACAAAACCAATTAAAACAACCAATTTAATCAAAGGAAATTAACAAATAAATAAGTAAAGGAGACATAAAATATATATAAAATATAGGCTTATCAATAGCGGTATGGTTTTAGTTTAATGATAGTTATGTTTGAAGTTTGGGATCGCTGTGGATTTAGCTCTAAAACAGGATGATTTGAAGAAAGCCATACATGACAGATAGTAATGATAACTTGAGCTAAGATTGGTGTAACTTCAACTTTCTGCTTCTTTAAAGGCTCGGCATCCTTTAAATAATGGATGAAAGATGGCTAACCCGAATCCAATCCACACTTCGGTGAAATCTACTTTGGAGAATACAAGAAAGTCCTACATGAATTAAAATCATAAGTAAAATCTTATAATTACAATATATTAAAATCATAAGAAAAATCATGTAATTACAAATCATGCTGAAATCTATTACATTAAAATCATATAATTATAATATATTAAAATCTCAATTGAATACCACCCCGGAAATGTGATGGCTCTTTGGCCTTTTTCATCTTAAAGTGACCCTTTGTCTGGTTCAAAGTGTTAAAACCAATTGAAGACAAATTAGCAAGTAAAATTGAATTGAGGGAATCACAAATCAGAATCTTTTACCGTCTCATGAATTTTTTTATTGCATATCTGTCGCGGTTTCGAATAGTCCTTTAGGAAAAAGTTTACATCACATTACTTTGATATATACAAATCAATATTTATGTTTTTTATTTGGAAAAAAACAAGAAGTATTTCTTGTTAATTTGGAAAATATACTTCTGTCTTGCTCTGTTCCAAGCCGAATGAATTATGGTTTGCATTTGTCTTTTTGTTGTTTAAGATATTTTAAGGTTTAGTTGCACTGCTTAGGAATAAAAGGAAGCATAGTCCTCGTGATTTAATTTAGTTATTAATTAAGGTATTTTCATTAATCTTTTTGAGAATTTTGTTGAAGTAATTTAAGTTCAAAATTCTTATGTAAAATAATTGATGAATACCAAACGAAAAAACGGTCAAATCATAACTTCACACGTATTTTAAGAAGCTATTTCCCGTTGTAAGCTGTTCATATGAATTTGTTTACTTCGAGAAATGAATCCTTATCCTCAGGTGATTATTCTTGGATTAATTCCTAAAGCGGATGCATGATCATGTTAAAAAGGGAAAATAAATTTTGTTGAATCTTATCCAACCTATTAACCATAAGTGGGAAAATATTCTGAACAACCAAATTGACATGGACATTTTCTATTTTTGAATGGTTGCCAACTGAGACCGGCATGATTGGAAATATTTTTGCTCCTACCCTAACTCAAGGTCACGCTCACCACTATTCTTAATACTTGACACATGTCTATAGTCTATAGACATAACTATAGTTAACTTTTTACTTTGATTTATGTAATATAGACACTTGTTAAGTGTTGAGACGAATGGTGAGTATATATACATTGAGTTAAAATGGTGGGCAAAAATTCTCCCTGGCATGATTTATTTCTAGATGAAGTCCCTACATGGCCTTTGGTTGCTTAAGTCTTGCAAAACCAACTCCATGTTTCAAAGACTTGGCAAATAATGTGGGAGCTCTATAAGGTAGCGAATTAAAAGCGCTTTAGGGAAGTTATGAAAAGCCATTCATGTCCACTCTGTATTTCCGGTGGGTAGATGAGGCAGCTTTCAATGCCCTTTTGCTATTTCACAAGCTATACATGCGACATTTTCAACGATATCTACTATGAAAATTGTCATCTAAAGCAAAGAAAGAAAAAAGAAAAGAAAACAAGAAACCAACAAGAGCATAAAGCCCTATCCTTTTCATCTTAGTCAACATCTCTCTCTCTCTCTCTCTCTCTCTCTCTCTCTCTTCCTGGACTTTTGTGGATACCATAAATTGAGTTGTCCTGGCAGGGTTTTTTCCTCACTCCAAGGTTGGAAGAGAAAGCAGAAACAATCTCTCCTTTTCGGGTCACCTTTGCTCTCTCCTTCTTCTATCTCCTTCTTCTCTCTCAGCTAGTCTTTGTGCTTTAAGTTTAAGCCATGGCTGAGACTTCAGGAGCTAATGGTAATGGAACCCATGTTTTTAATGTTGAAGATGGTGATGGCAACAGTCACAGACTTTCCCAATCTTCCACCAAAACCAACCAAGAATCAAGCAGTTTTGGTCTCTCTGTGCCTTTCATGCAGAAGGTGACTTTAAATTATTTTTGTTTCAGTTACTTTTTGGCTCAAACTCAATTGCAAATGTTGTGTTTCAGTTTCAAAACCATTTGAATGCTTTGATGCTTATCCTCACCACCAATTAATCTCTCCAAGTTCTGTGTCATATTAAACTCAAATGCAAAAAAAAAAAAAAACACAAAAAAAAAGCTTAGAAATTGTTGAGGCAACAAATTAAACTCAAAGGAAATGTTGAATAATAAAGTGGAAATCTTTTGTGGGACAGGTGATTGCTGAGGTGTTGGGTACATACTTCGTGGTATTTGCAGGCTGTGGGGCTGTGGTGGTGAATTTGAGCACAGATAAGACGGTGTCGGCTCCAGGAATTTCAATTGTTTGGGGACTGGTTGTGATGGTCATGGTTTACTCCGTTGGTCACATCTCCGGTGCCCATTTTAATCCTGCTGTCACCATTGCTTTTGCCATTACCAAGAGGTTTCCATGGAAACAGGTGAGCTAACCAAACCAACCCATGATTTTTTCTTTTCTTTTGAAATTGGTAAACTACACAAATCTTTTTCCCGATGTTTGGTTGTTCTCCATATAAAAAATTGTGTTTCTTCCTGAACAAGGTTATTTCTAAGCAAAGACATCATGTCTTCAACTCAAAACACCAATCAGATTTGTTTAAATCAATTTATTGTCAAATTAAACTCATAGATGGATGCTATATCATCACATTTCTCTTCCCAATTCAATCTATTCTGTTTCGATTTTATAGGTACCGGCTTACATAGCAGCTCAAGTCCTTGGATCAACACTTGCAAGTGGTACCCTTAGACTAATATTCCAGGGGCACCAGAACCATTTTGCTGGAACACTTCCTACTGGAAATCCCTGGCAGTCATTTGCGATTGAGTTCGTTATCACATTTTACCTCATGTTTGTTATTTCTGGTGTTGCCACAGATAACAGAGCGGTGATTACTTCTTCTCCCTCTTTGTACCTCAGCATTTGACAACATTGGTCCAAATTTCCCAATTAAATTACTTAACCAATATGGTTGATTACCAACAAGGGTTGGTGTCTAATAACTTGCTTAACTTGTTAGACTAATATAATTGGATTTGGGAATATAATTATATCATTTAATTACCCTTAGTATATTCCAAAAAGTCTGCATCATATAATATTATTCATGTTAAACTATTACAGAGACCGTGACATGAGGATCTGATGGCGATCTTATCTTTCTTCTTTTGTTTGTTGCAGATTGGAGAGCTTGCCGGGCTTGCGGTTGGCGCTACGGTTCTTCTTAACGTGATGTTTGCAGGGTAATAACTTATTAATAATATCCTCTAAACACACATATACTCTTTGATTAAGTATATTCTTTGCCTATTAAGCAGCGTGACATATGGTTTCCCATTTGGAAGTTATCAACAAAGTCAAATTAAGCACTTTGCATTAATCTTTGTGTGTCAATTAAAAATTAAGATCTGTGTCTTAATGATTTGCGGTGATATATAATTCTGCAGGCCAATCTCAGGAGCATCAATGAACCCAGCAAGAAGCATAGGACCTGCAATTGTTTCAACCCAATATACGCACCTGTGGGTTTACATTTTTGCACCAACTCTTGGGGCTGTGTGTGGTGCTTTGGTCTATAATGTTATCAGGTTCACAGACAAGCCTCTGCGTGAGATCACCAAGAGTAGCTCTTTCTTAAAAGCCGTGGGGAGCAAGTAACGGCTCTAATTGTTGATGAAGAAATTAGAGAGGCAAAAAAAGGGTTATATTAACTAGTTAATTATGCACAAAAAGAAAAGAGAAACAAATCAAGATCATTTTTATGGTTTAAGCACCTTTAAATTGCTCTTTTGTATTTTGTTTTTTAATAGAAAAGAATGGAAATTTGAATTCCCATGTTTGTATGTTACCATATAAATGTGCTATCTTCTTATATATCAAAATATCCATTGACCGACACACGGGTTAAGAAATCAAAGTATGTTTTATGTCTTCGAAACACATGTTCTTATTATCGTAGTATTTTATAATTTCTCCTCCGAAAGCAAATACAATTTTTTTACAACATGCAAGAATTGAATTCTTCTAAATAAAGTAAGTCACTGGAAACACGTGGAGAAAGGAAGAGGAAGACAAGAGATTCAAGGAATGCGTTTTTAGTCGATAAGGACAAGATTAAAGTATTTTCTTTCTTTTTTGGTCAAGATTTGTAAAAGTTTTGTGGGTATGGAATCACATGAATCCTGTTCAAATGGCATGAACGTTTCCACTGTTTTTGGTAGGAAACAGATATTCTCATCATAAGTCTATTTTAGAAACATTTTTATTAGAAATGAGTCAAAATCTTTATTAGAAGTCAATAAATAAATAAACATGAAAGCAAATAAAAATAAAAATCAAAGCAGCAAAGCTAGAACAGTCAGCACTCATGTGCCTCATCGCTGACCAGCATGAGCTGTGTGATTTGGATTTGTATAATGCTTGTCCCGACGTCTTATAATTTGTTCTGTATCCATTCTATATTATTATTACCAACGAAAGTTGGAACAATTCATGTTTCTTATGCTCTATGTTATTTTATTTCATTCATTCATTTCATGATTTTCAACATCTTATCCAATGTTTTATCTACTTCCCTCTAACTTTTAAGAGGATCATTTAAAGCCTTCGACTGCATTCTGTGAATGCCGTTGGGGAATTACCAGTCAGAAATAGCCCCAGCACATGAGAGAGAGAGAGAGAGAGAGAGAGAGAACCAAGCCCATGTAAAGCACCCTTGCAACCATACCATGGTTTTTGTTGATTGAAATCTGAATAATGAAAGACCAAACGGTTGTTTTTGGCGCAAGAAGCGCATTGCTCAAGTGGTTAAGACATTTGCCCAGTACATAGAACGCCTCTCACTTTCCATTGTTTGGCGAGACAACAGTAGAGTGACCTGAAGCAGCAAAATGAAAGCATGTTCTGATGCAGTGTTTGATTGTTATCACCTTTACTGTCATAATCTGAAGAGTTTCCAAGAACAGAGCTATCAATCTATCGGTTTCCACTGGTTATGTCTAGTGTCCTACAGAAAATTTCCTAAATTCCCAACCAATTTAAAACCATTTCATAAGCTTGCTAAATGAGTGAACTGAAGGGCAACATAATTCACTTGTACAACAGCTAAAACGCCAATGGCTAAATTAGTAAATATAGTATACAAGTGTTAAAAAAACACTGCTCCTCCAACATTTATAAGGAAAGAAGCGTTCCAACATGCGAAAAACATTATTTACAACGTGGTTATAAAAAAATGGGTGGAAAAATTTAAGTTAGAGACTATAGAATTGAATAGGTTAAATAGTGACAAAATATATAAAAGGTTTCCCTACTTCCATAGTTACCGGCATTTTCCCTACTAATTTCGTACTGGGAGGCTGCTTTGAGTGGCACTGCTGCTAACAGAACCAACCCTTGGTCTTGCTCTTGGAATAATTAATGGTCTGCAGCAGATTAGAGTAACGAGCATCTCCATCATAAACAACATCATGCTCATCCATACAAATATAGATTTCTTCCAATTCCATATAAACCTTTTAAATAGCGGAAGTTCTGACTCAAGGGTCACCGATGCATCATATATTTGGGGAATACCGGCACCAGGCTGATATTCAGCACGTTGTTCAATTGTCAGCTTTAAGCAGGCAGTAGGAACTTCACCTTGGATAAACCCTCTGAACTTCAGATTCAGAGTTTGGGATTCCGAAACATAGCCGGCAACAAGAGGAGCAACCTTAAGGAAAGTCAATAGAAGGCGGATAGGCTCGCTTTTGAATTGTAACATGCATGGATGGCTTGAACTGGCAAGGGTTTTACCATTGACAGACAGGAACTGTACCCTGACCTACATAAACAAAATGAACTTGGTCAAATAAACACTCATCAATATGAAAATGGAAACAAAGAATCATGATAGCAAAACCTAGTAACTACTTTAGAATCCATTGCAATAAGTACACAAAGAAATAGACAACAAAAATGAGAAGGAAAAAGAAGGATAAGCTTGAAGGAAATAGCATTTCCCCTCTTTCGGGTTTCAATTACATTGCACAATGTGAAAAGTGGCTTGAGATCACACCATCCAGTTGCAAATATCACAATATGAAGTTATCTGCAGTATTTTATCATGTACTTGTATTGCAACTTCATCATAGTCCTACTAAATTCAGCAGCTCTTTTCTTTCCCATTGTGTCAACAACTCAACTTCCTTACTTCCCCTGATACCAGGAAAACATTTAACTGAGAACTAGATCTCCAAACATGAGGGCAGCATCACCAGATTTCTTTAGAAAAATCCATGCTTTAGATCCAACTGAAAGATTTACTAATTACTGTTCATATCACACAGTTTTCTGAGGTGCCTATGCCTTCTAAAATTAAGTGACAACTATCACATACAAATTAGGTCCATCCCGAACCTAAGATCCATATACCAGTATTATGTTCATCCTTTTACATTAGCAATCGGTCCGATTATTGTTTATGCAATAATTGTAGGACAAACTAAAGTCTATCATAAAACAGCAAACTTGAAAAAACCAAATTTATTATGTATTAACCAAACGACAAGACTCGTGATATTAGTCTGAAACAAGAAATAGAAATTCACATTTAGTAAATCAAGTACCTGAAAGACCCCAAGATTCCTGTTGTACTCTGATTCAGGCAATACGAATGAAACAGTGACCGCCACTTTGTGACCACGAGGTATAGCTCGAAACCCGAAACTCTCCCCAGCTTGAACCTTTTCTTTACAATCCGCACCACAACTGGCACCGGCACACGACATTACCGGTACATAGGCCACCGGACTGTGCTTAGTGTAATCAAAGTTCAACATATCTTTCATATGCATTGGCTCGGCCACGATGCTCCTCATCAAAACTCCACTAAACACAAGCGACGTGACCAAAAGACCACACAAAACGAAACAAACATAGCATGACCAAAACAAACCCCACCCACATCGCAATGCCACCTTCCAGACCGAGTTGTTGTCCTTCAACCACTGGAAAACCTGAGGACTCACATACCCACCAGCCAATTTCCATAAATTTAACACCTCTGTGGTCAAATACTCTCGGCCTCGACGCACAATTTGGAAGGGGTCGATGACAAGCATGTAAGAATGGTGCAAAATCCATATGGGAAATGTAAAGATGCTAATGAATAAGTTAATTTGGAGCCCAATTGCCTTGATTATCATCCCGGCCAAAAACACAAGAAGGTTAAACGAAGAGTCACCGAGTTGTGCGGCCGAGTCGGCCGATTCACCAACTGGGTCGTCATTCCCGGCAGTAGTTACAGTCGAACCCTCGTTGTTCTGGTCACTCGGAACTTGCACTGAGCTGACTCCGTCCCGAGTCGACTCGGGCTCCTTCAAATTCCGGCGAAGCTTAAATTTTCTGGCTCTGATACTCAGCCTCGTGTCGTTGATCGAGTCAATTTCGGAGCTGAGCGTGGATTCTAAAGTGGAAGTCTTCGACTCGTCGCCGGAGATTGCTCGGCGAGATGATCGGCGGCGGAGGCTGGTGGCCTGAGAAGGTGTGGAGTCTGGGAAAGATAGTGTGGAGGGTGACGTGAACTGATCTGATTGATCGGTGGTGGAGGGGAAGTCGTCGAGGGCGTCGTAGAAAATGTCGTCGTCTTCTTCATTGTTTGAGGTGGGAGGTTCTGTAACTTCCATTGGCGATGTTGCGTGGGGCTGGAGTTGCGGCTATCGGTTTCAGCTAATCATTTACACATACGAATAAAACGGTGCGTGTTGATCCTTTAAATTTATTTTTTGAGGTACAGATTTTTTTATTTATTTTTAATTTCGTCAAAGTTCTGACCTTTTTTTTGGTTTATCTACTTGTCTGTAATGGGCACAGCCCACATGTCATATTAAAGTAGGCTAATTGAAGAACCCTAAGCTCGATGCTCAATGGGTCAAGTCCTCTGGTTCATGCATGTCTGCTTGATGAAATTACTAAAATCCGATATAAAGTCCACAAAAAGATCAACGAAATGCTAATTTGACATGTGATTAAATTCATCGCAACAATTTAATTTTAATGGACAATTGGAAAGACCGTATCTTTGCTCATTTACGTTTTACTCTTTAAGGATCTGCTTAGTTTATAAAAATTCGGATTCGGAATGGGAAATCAAATGATATTAATTGTAGACTACTGCAAGAGTTTCAGAAGAATCCTAAAACTGCTTAATCTTCATCTGCCTGGGCAAAACTACAGTAGTAGCCCCTTTAAAAAGGAAAAGGTGAAGATTATTAGGCTAAAAGCATGCGTAAATAAAAAAAGCAAAAAAGCAACTTTAAAACAGATATTTTTATTCGGAATATTCTGATATTGTTGACAAATGTGTGGCTCAATACAAGTTCATCTTTCTTTTTTCTTCTCTTTTCATATATTCATTCGTTTATATCTTGATTGTTATGAATATTATCGAGTCTAACACATGTCCAATTACAACATTGAACTCTAGTTAGTCCTCTCCTAAGATGACAACAATCAATCAGTGCAAAGTTTCAAGAGCAGCATCAGATAGTTCTACTTGTCTCACAAAACCCACATCCCTCCTCGGATCCTCATAACTTTCAAAGATTGCTTTTACTCCTTGCATCAAATTGTGTTTCTTACCCAACTTGCATCATTGCACGAGCTTCCTTTTTTCACATCTGGGTGGGCCGATTGCATGCATTAGTTGCTATTGCAGAAACCCAATTACTACCATTTCCTAATTGTTGATGATGCTGGTTGGTAATGTCTTTGTTTGCTTCATTACTGCATTTAGTTGCGTCACACTGCTGGAACTTGCTGAATCTAAGTTGCCCCAAGAGGAAGGTGAGTGCTTATCTTTCTACTGTTGGCAATCCCTGGTTGTTTATGAGAAAATGTTAAAAAGAAAGAAAGTATTTTATCTTGGTACATACAAGGACTCATAAAAGTTGATTGGATTAGTTGGCCTGATCTTTTCATTTCATAATAAGAATGGGTAGTTTTCTTTTATCAATTTTCTATATTTCTTGGCAACCAAACTGAAAAGTGTGGTCTTTTGCATTTTAGAGTCATTCAATGAGCTAAGTTTAGTTCAACTTTTGCCCTGAAAACCACTCATAACACAACTCACTGACTTATCTGCTCTAGATCATTTGGTATTCTAGCGGCCTTGCCATTTGTGTTCTATACGCTCATCTCATTTTACTTTGATTTTCTATATGATGCTTATATGGTTTGAAAATGGATGCCTTTTAGTTGATGCCCTCCAACAAATTACTACCACAATGGGCGCAAAATATTGGAGGTTTAACAATGATGCTTGCCGAATTGAAATGGTGGGTCTAACGGAGAAGCCACCAAGGGGAGCCCAGAGCAACACTGATTGTGAATGCTACTTTGAGAACAACACTGTTTGTCATGTCGTGAAACTGTACGAGTCTTAACTCAGTTTTATATCAATTGTTCCGTTTTGGCTTATGAAAATGCCTTCCATGTCACAAAGCTCTGTTTGTTTATGATTTGGCTATTTGCTATTAGTTTCTCTCTGCTTAATCTTTGATTATTTGTTTAACGTTTTACAGAGTGCTCAAGGGTTATAGTTTACCTGGTTTGCTTCCACTTCAACTGGTCAAGCTTCCTTACCTCAGAGAAATGTAAGAACTATCATATTTGATTTACATTATGCTCAAGATTTGGATGGTACATATCTTTATTTATTAATTAAAGTAGCCTTTCTTTCCTTGTAGTGATTTTGCTTACAACTATCTCAGTGGTACAATACCACCGGAATGGGCTTCAACGAAACTAACTTATATGTGAGCCTTTTGAATTTATGTAATGAAGTTTTAATTTAGTAGCTATGTATATTCATTAGTGACTTCTCTGCAGTTCTGTTCTGGTCAATCGCTTATCAGGACAAATTCCAAAGGAGCTAGGAAACATTACCACTCTGACATACCTGTACGTATTGCGATTTGGTTTATCTCAATTTTTAGGACTTGGACACTGATTGCGATTAAAGTTCTTGTGATCTTTGTGAAACTATACTAGTAGGGTCTCTAATTTCCTCGTTACATGCCTTGCTAACTGCTATCTGACCTCAGCTGGAAACAGAACTCTGTCAGGAGCCTTGATATCCTAGTGATGATACATCAACTTTATTTTCTTTTTTCTTTCATAAATCAGGAGCCTTGAATCAAACCAATTTTCTGGTATTCTTCCTATTGAGCTTGGGAACTTGATCAATTTGCAGACCTTGTAAGTCATCAAATCCTCACTTTCAGATGTCTGGCCTCGTGTGTTCATATTTACTTGCTGCATGTTGCAAATGTAGGATGCTTTCCTCCAATCAGCTGTCTGGAAACTTACCAGAGACGTTTTCTGGGATCAGAACTTTGACAGATTTGTAAGGTTTACTCATATATTGTTTCTCTTTTATAACATTTATACTGTTTCTTGTGTCTAATTGGCAAAATTCTAATGCAATGTAGCCGAATAAATGATAACAACTTCAATGGAACACTCCCTGATTGGGTGCAGAACTGGAAACAACTCAGAAGATTGTAAGATCTTTATATTTATGTAAAAAAAATTATTTCCATTGCTTTTCGACTTTTGAAGACTTTTTAAAGGGTTATTTCCACTAATCCTTCTAAAAACTTGTCTTGTTGAAGGGAAATGCATTCAAGTGGACTGGAGGGACCCATTCCATCAAATATTTCTCAATTGTACAATTTAAATGAGTTGTGAGTAATTTGGACCCTCATTCTGCTCAGTAATCTTTTGAATGATCTTTCCTGTGTATTTGATTAATAGTTTTATACATCATGGTATATATTTGTGCAGGAGGATTAGTGATTTAAATGGGCCAATTCAGGAATTTCCTTTGCTGAGAAATATGACGGGCATAGTAAGATTGTATGTTGAGAGCTTCGTCATTAAATACTTTGAGTGTTTCATGTACATCTATAAACAGAACATAGGGCGCACTAACATCCCACACCCATACACACAATCATGTTTTCCTACCTATTGTTAGAACAAAATCCAATTGTTGACAAAAGCATATTATTGGGATTTGATTATTAGCCGATGGCTTTTGATCCAACAGTTAGTGAGCATTAATTGCGTGCTCATCACTGAGTAGGAGGTCATAATTGTATGTATGCATATTTCTTTTTCTCTACAACTTATATGTACTGTTATTTTTCTTTCCAATAGCTGTAACTATGAGCTGTTTCATGCTAATTTGTTTAACTAATTCAAGGGTTTTGAGGAACTGCAACATTTTTGGGGAGATCCCTTCATATATCTGGTCCATGAAGAATCTGACGATGTTGTAAGTAATAAAAGTTGTATCAACTTTACTTTGGATGCTTGAATCACCCCAAACACACACGGACATGTATATGCGCAGCAGTCTCCCACTCTACTGTTAGGATGGAGATTAATTGATTGTTATTGTGCAATTGTGATAGGGATGTCAGTTTTAACAAGTTAGTGGGTGAACTTTCATCCACAATAGGAGCTGAGCGTCTGAAATTTGTGTAAGTGTGAAATTCTTTAAAAAATTTATACTATCAGTTAGGTGAAATTTCATCTATAACAGCTTTTTTTACATCTTAAAATCTTGCTTGTTGTCCAAGAACCATGTCATAGAAATGCAACCAAACTGATGAAGCCAGTATCTTTCTTGATAGAATTGATGTACAATACTAATACTTGGTATTGCTTTGATCAGCTTTTTGACTGGCAACCTGCTAAGTGGGAATGTGCCACAGTCAATCTTGCGAGATGGAAATAGTGTGTACGTTTCCTATCTGCAATGCTTTCTATTAACTTTGGATTCCTTTTTATATATTATACTTTACTAAATTCTAACTGCGGTGTCATGTGTGTCTACCATTGTATATTCTAATTTCTAAACATTTCCCCTTCTTATTATCAAATGACAGGTTCCTGTTATGTTTCAAAACTGACAGTTGTTTTTTCTTTGCTTTCTGCAGTGATTTGTCATACAATAACTTCACGTTGAAAGGCCCACTGGAATGTCAAGAAAACTTGTCAGAATAGAATCTAATATCTCTTTAGATTATTTTTCAGATTATGTGGTTTGAAGAAACTGATAGTTGTTTCACGGCATCTGTTTTTCAGGAATCTAAATCTGAACTTGTACCGGAGCTCTTTGAAGGAGAACAACTCGTAAGATCCTTCTTTAAGATTTACTCTTCGCTCTCTTCCATTTTTTTTTAAATTTTAAATTTATAATTATATATGGACAATGCTCCAAATTTTCTTATTTATCTTTGGTTCATTCTGTGACAGAATGGGAATTCTTCCATGCTTGAAGAATTTTAAGTGCTCACAATGTAAGTATACATCTTCTAGAGTTTGAATATTATGGAGTGCTATCTGACTAATTTGAGTTTCATTTGAATTATTTTACAATTAAAAAATTGAAGTGCACACATATAACTTCAGCAATTAAATCAAAAACTGATTACAGCAGTGAAGATGTAAATTACAAACAGAAGAATGCGAGCTGAAATAAATAACAAAAAGGTTTAATGAATGACCGTAAAATGGTGTATTGAATGACTGTGACGATCTAGAAGTATAGCAAATGGATAGGGCATTGCATAGGTATTTCGTTCACTCCTTTCACCATCTTTGGATTGTTGTGGAATTCCAAAGACCCTAAGCAAAATTGTACAAGATGACTTTTACATCATGCTTAATGTTGTACTGCCTACCTCATATTTGTCCTCATTAAATTTTTGTTTTTG